ACTAAAGGTTATCGACGAACACTTCTCGTTTAGTAACCCCAACTTAAATACAATCATCTAGAAACTTCAGTTTTAAAACTTAAGTGAAAGCAATTTCAAATTTAGGAACTTTGGAGGAACGTCGTTTCCAAAAGCATCTAACAGTTAGAGTCTAACTGTCGGAGCGGGAAGTCTGCGGTGCTCCTTGTAAGCGCGCGCGTATGCTGCGCTCTCGTATCTTCACTATTTCCAGTCCGTTTGGACGATATATCCCGATCCACCATCTATAGGATTCACTATTTTCAGAGCTACCGTCCTACCGAATGGTCCAGCTACCTGAGAATCGATTCTGGGCAAAAGTTCCGAGGTTACCTGAGAAATCAGTCCTAGAGAGAAAAATGATGATCCAAAAACGTCTGTCCTTGGTTTGAAACATCCCGTACAAAATCATAGTCGGTCAGTTTTTATACAGCAACGCGCCAGTGCTACGTGTGGCTGCTGGGATTCGCGTACGTACTTTAGCTCATCAAAATATTATTTCTATTTTTTCGATTGCTATTCGAGAGTGCTTCTGTTCACGCCATTTTCCCCGGCCACTTCACCAGAGCTTGCTGATCTCTATTTTCCTCGATCGTGAACCATTCCTGATCACCAATGGTTGCAGTAGAAAATAGGTTTTTGTGATGCGATTATCGGAGTAGGAGATTCTGCCGAAATTTCATTCCGAAGAAAATCTGTTATCTGTTACCAACGATGAATCCTGGTTGCATCGGTCCGAGTTTGAAAATACCATCTCCAACGGAAGAGTACAGAAAAACATCATATGAGTCTAACTTGCCTACAGTTCCATTGGCAATTCGGAATCACTGAGCGAATCCGAAACTGTTATTCTCGCCATGTTTCCAGTCGGAATATCTTTTGCGTATGCGTGCACAAGAATAACGCAGCGCGCGAGATTCGTTCAGGGATCTCTCAGGAGTCGAGTTCAACCGTGATAATCATGAATTACGATTCGTAGTTCTGATCAATCGCTTATTTAACACCTCGAGGGTTGCGCTGGTTCATCACATTATCGAGAGTGGAATCTTCCGTGTGCGCGATATTGAATATGTTTTTGGCCCATCATATACCGGGATTGGGTGAGCATCTGAATCCTCATCCTTGCGAAGAGATGGACGTCGCTGATTGCGCATTGAAAGCACTGAAGGAGAGGATCCTGTATGGCGAGTCGCCGATGGATAATGTCAATCATGACGATTATAATCCGCACAAAGCTCTTGAATGTACGGGAATACCGTGGCGCAGGGAAGCTTGAGTGAGTATGCATAGATACCGGTCCTGATCCGTACGGTGAGCACCAGCAACCTATACCACACAAGACGTCTTCATTCGCTACTAGAGTGGCTAGTAAGCAATCGATTAACCATCCCTCCAGTTGAGACCGGGATGGTGTCACCATCACGGTGAATCTGTAACCACATTATGCGTCGAAATCTATTTTCCGAACCCAACGGACTAATTAGCCTAATTAGTGATTATCTCTAGGCGAACCTAATTAAATTAGGGTTCGCCTAGAAGTAGTTCATTCGGGTCCATCACGCCTTCAAGAAACGAGCAATTGATTACTTCCCAATTGAGCAACGTCACCACTTTGGTTGAAATTTGTTCATCGTTGCATCATTCTCGGAATCCTCCCATGACTGAGCCTCGTTAACTTGGATGAAAACATGACGAACACTAGCTTCACTAACGTAAAACTACTGGTGGTGCGCCAAATTCGCCAGCAACGGTGGTATTGTAAACGCAAAATGTTATCCTGCAGATGACTTCAAGCTCGATGAGCAAGTCCATCAGTTGGGTGACGGAACCTTCGCGCTTGTGAATGAATCGGTGAGGAAATGGGCCGAGGTAAGCCTAGGAATGGATGCTGTTGGTTTCAATCATTGTCTTTGACTGCATGCTCGAGAAGAACTCCAGGGAAGGCTATCATGACTAAATACTGACTAATTCTTATGGCCACACCCAGTTTGAGTATACTTGAACTCTCTCGACGCATGAGGCACAGCCAAATCTCAATAGGCCGCCTCAGTCTTGGAGCATATGTTCGCTTTCCTCAGTGAGCTTGGGAGTTCCCTCACTATCAGGGAGGAAACCCCCAAGCTCAGCTGAGGAGACCATTCACTATTAGCGAACAGAGGTGATCTCGAACTAGTTGTTGGTTAATACCATCACCTTGCAAGGCTCACGCATATTTCTTCAGTGGGCCTGTGGTGTTGGCGTGACCATTGTGTCATCGGGGGCGAGCTTGGCTGCTCTTAGCAGTGTATGGCGGAATATGTTACAACAAAAGTGAGAGATGCGTCAGTGATCGCTCGATGGAACTACCCATCCAGTGAGTCCGAAGAAACTGCTGAAGATCAGGAGCCTTCAGAAAATCAGAGGAAAAACTCACCAGTTCAGGTGCGTTTGCCTAGCCTCGTTACTTTCGGGAACTAACGACGTGAGCGTGCTGTTATGATAAGCTACCGTCGCTTACTCGATTCTGTACCGCGCATGCTGGTGCTTTGGGGAGCACGTGTGCTTGGAGGTTACTTCCGAGTGTGTCTCTCGTGTTGTTCATTATCACACCTTTACTATATCATGCCTCTACTATATCATACATTAGTTTTCAAAATAGTTTCCAATTTCAATATCCCCAGGTCCCGGAGAGAGGCGAAGCTGCACTGAGTGCGAGCATCCATGGAGCGTCGACTGTCACATCTCCTGTCATCACGCGGAGTGTCCATAATACTGTTAGCAACAGTCTTAGTGCTTTTCTCAAGCGAACACAATTCAACAGTAGCAGCAGTAGTAGTAGTGCTGATGATTGTGATACTGATACCTCTGCAAGTTGACTGTATCGTGGCACGTTAATGATTGTCTCCTTTGTTCACTGCATGTCGAGTAGTGAGTGAGAATGATAGGAGTTGGTGGAAGACATTACACTATTTGAGTGACCGTAACTTGGCTTTCTCGGAGAAGCGGCGGAGCGCAATTTCTCAGAGCGAGGCACTGCCTCGCTCAACGAGATCTGAGAACGGTACAGTATACCCCAGGGAGGTCAGTCAGGAACCCTGGAGCACGTGTGAAACCATCAGGGCCCTGATTGTAAGACTCCCATACAGATGAGATGATCTGTCTCTGATCCTGGTTGTCTGTCTTGAGGTTACCTTCGCCGAAGGAAAGCTGAAGACAGACACCGAAGGACCTTCGGTATGCGGTGTCATCTATCGTTTCTGCAACCTGGGCGACTGCTGGAGCGTGGGGGCTCCCACGTTCCAGCAGTCGAACACAGCTGGATCCTAGCGTCCCCCACACTGGGGGCTCTTTTAACAGCGTTTGCGGCGGCTGGCTACGGGGATCTCGGTCCTCTTGGATGCTACTCATACTATCTGAGCTCATTGATTCCGAGAGTTTCAAACTTTTGGACTATCCGATTTGGGGATACGGGTGTTGGACCACTTGCGGCGGGAATTCCAGATGGTGTTGACAGAAGGAACGTCTGTATCGGCGCACTAGGGTGTTCGCACGTCCAAATGACACGCTACGCTCGTACTGTGACCATCACAGTGTGATAGCCTTTCCGCAGAGGTCTTCGACTGATCCATGGTGGAACAGTCATGATGGAACTTCCATCGCACGGCACAATGCCTGCGCCTTACGCGGACAATTCGACGTGGGTGGGGACAGAGTCGCGATTGGTCATGATATAGTGGAAGGTTCGCTATCGCTAGGCCCCTCCTTGGCGGCGGTGCCACGTGGCGTGACCCACGCCGTAGGTGCGTGAAAGGGGCCAATTTTGATTTGGCTACACACACACTACCATTACTGGCAACCTTTTGTTGCTGACGACTGCATCCATTGGAACCCAAAATCTAGTCCTGTTCGGGCTGATATTCCAATATCACTGGTGAGAGCTACGAAGGTGGTGCCGGCTTGTTTTAAATGTGGAAGCTGCTGGGGCTCCATGCTAATCGACAGCTGCTGCCGAGATCGATCAATAATTTTTCTATGTGCCAATTTTCAACGTGCGCGATAATTCGTTAATGCGTAGCTATCGGCGGTGAGACTTCGTCGCCGTGCGGATCCCTGATAGCATGAAAACAAACTGGACGACGGCTAGGAGTATGAGTAGTCCGACTGGGGAATGGCGCGCAGTGGCGGTGTCAAAGTTTGACGGTCAAACTCACTACCGAGTCGATTTTCTATTCCTGGAGCCGCTCCGTGGCTAACCAAGCCCGGCTTGCCAAGCTGC